GTTATTTTTTTGAAGCACAGCCGATAGCCGCAAATGCAGAAAGTAGTTCGACGCGAAAGAACTACGAATACCCCGGGGGCGGGGGGCAATCGACCAGAAATGCTGTAAAGATATATACATATGTTTATAGTCGTGAATGAACCATTCACCAGTCGTGGTGTAGTTCGAAAACAAAACATACATTTAATTTCCCTCGGTTAATTACACAAGTTAAAAAATAATCTAACATTGCATCTCTGCAAAGTAAATAAAAATATTCTGGAAGCTGCAGATTTTGAGCATTAGCATTAGAAATAAAATAATTCTTCTAAGCCACCGTCAGTTCTCGAAGTTTTAAAATACATACAAGAACTTCAAGCGTTTTTTTTTACAACATAGATTTTATTTATTTTATTACTTATAATAATGATCCCTGAATATGTAACTGCAAGTTAAAGTTAAAAATATTATTTAAATATCATTACCACAAACGCTTTTTCCTTAAAGACAATTACAACGACCCGGAGTATTTTGTAGACATGATGGTTGAGTACGTAACGTACGTTTCTTAAGTTCAAATGTATTTATAATCCATAAGAACTTTGATTAAAAAAAAAAATTACTTTATCTTTTATATTTCTACTCTACTGTTTGTTATTGTGTAAATCAGTCAAATTCAAGAAAACTTTATTTACGATTTAAAACTAGTTGTGCACTATTTAATATTAAACAAATGTGTACGAGCTATTTAGTGACATATTAGTGGATATAATATATTAAAAGCCATAATGTTATGTTGTAATTGAAGTGTTAGTGAATATAATATAAGTGAAAAATCCAAAATACATAGAAAAACTGCTTATTTTAATTTGTGACTTTTGTACTTTAAATGTGAATATCTCGAAAATTATATTTTTTTTTGTTTTTTGATCTTAAGGACATCCTTTTTCCGCCTATACCGATTTTGTCCCCGAAATGGGGGGATTCTATACTAAAGTTTTCCCCAAAAAAGTTAAGTAAATCGCACTTTTTTTAGGGTCTGAGATGATATGACCATCACTTAATTTTCAACACGGTAGTCGTGCAGAGCTTACTTACACCAGAAAAAAGGTTATAAGACGTCGTCCGCTTGTGAATAACCAGCTATGTAATTAACACTTTGCAACCCCTGATCTTTCAGCTGCGATCGTCTTGCGAAATTAACTCTCGCAAAAAAGAAAAATTCGTAGGAATGTGAAGGACGACGAAGGTGTTTGCAGTAAAATTTATAAAGATCAACTTCGTCGTCTTTAATGTAAAAATTGTTCAGAAGCAAAGCTACATTGTTTCCTACGGGAGATAATTAAGAGTAGATGACCTGATACGGCTGTTCCGTCAAGCGACACGTTTTTAAGCTTAAACAAAATATTTTTAAAGTTATAAAAATATATTAATATAATATTAGAATTGAATTACAAATTTAGGAAGCACACTTAGTGTTAAAAACAATGTATAATTTTTTGATCTGATCAAAAAACGAATTTTGCCAGACCAAAAACGACGAATTTTTTTGGGTAAATCAAACTTTTTAAAACGCCGCCATTTTGTAAATTTTTGATTTGTTTCGATCTTAGGTCATTTATGCATAAATTTTGTTTTTAGGTTACACCTTTGGATAAAAAAGTAAGTTCGATTGTAATTGAACATTTTATAATCTCGAAACTTGCTATATAAGCCGCTGATATATTTGCAATAGTTTTAAGTTTAACAAACTTAATAAATTTGCATCAGAATTCAAAATTTAAATGCATATGTACCTATGTACTTACATATATTATATATATGTATGTCATATACTCACTTAGTTTCATCACATACTTTTGCTTTGTGTCCGAAATAGTTATATTAAAATCAGCCTAACTAACTAAAATGAGATACAGCTTTTCAATTAATTCCTTGCAAAACGAAAAACAACATGAAAACTCAGTTTTAAGCTTAGTATTTTGTTACAGAAATAAATATAAAAATAATTTTCCATTTCATTTTCATTATACTATAAGTATTACTATTCTATTTAAAATATTCAAGAGCAAAAAAAATCAAAAGTCAAAGCGTAAACTTCAAAAATCAAACAAAAAGAAAACCTATCGGACAACATATTGGAATTTTTTCCGCGACAAAATAAAAGTTTAATGTTTTTCTTATGATGAACGAGTCATCATTAACTTATCTGTTTAAATATATGCTTGAGAACCGAATTGAGGAAAACCTAATTCTGGTTATTTATTTTACCTACTGCGAATAATCTAAAAAATTATCTGAACTGTTCTCAATTACACTTAGAAGAATTTGTAATATAATTAACCGCACTGAAAAACAGCCGCTTAGAATTATTTCCAAAAAAGTTTAAGACGAATAAGGAAAGACATTGGGCTATCTGATCGTCGGAAATATGCTACTAGAGTGTTCAGATGAAGTTATATTTTGTGACGAAACTAAAATTATGATGTACTACCACGATGGTACAAACAAAGCTCTACATTAAAATAATCAGCAGTAAAGTTTGGAAAATTGTCTGTCGTGGTTTAAGGATGTTACTCGTCTAAAGGTAAAAGCAAGCTGCGCCTTTTAAATGATGTGATGAGGATTAGCTAAACCAGCTCATGAAACAAAACCAAACATCAGAATACCTCTAGTTTATATCGGTTCATTCAAATACAAAGTCAAAATTTGCATTTTCAGCTTAGTGATAGGTTTATTTAACAAACAGTACAATATTTTAGTTTACGTACTTTTTGTTTGTTTTTTCAATTCGACTTCGACTTTTTAATTTGTCTGCTGCCCTAAATAGATTTAAAATATATAATCACCTATGGTATTATTCAAAAATCTACATTCGACTGTTTTTAAAATTTTAGAACCAAACATCAAAACTAATTGCGAATTACTTTCTTTCCTCTGTTATATACCATAGACTAACGCTGGCGGCCACCATCAACTCTTTACACGGACTTACATCAACAATAGCGCCAAACTTTCGTGCTTGAGTGTCCGTCTTGCAGTCTTCAAATGACTTAACTGGACGACCAGATGACATATGTATTTACTTTTGGGTCAGGCGGTACAAAATTTCCGTTCAACCACTTTTTTTCACTCTTCAAACGATGCTAATATTCCATAGCTAATTCTCAACTTTTCTACCAGTTTGCTCACAAAATTTCGCAGGGTGCGTTTTGGGCATGACATTTTAACTAAAAAAAAGTAAAATCTTTAAATCTTGGAAAAACTGGAATTTAATTTTACACATTTTAACATTCATAATACAGAATATTAATAAAACAAACGATGCCTTGCCCGAAACCGTCGGAATCAATTGAACATATACGCCATGAAAGATCGGCGAATACAAAAAATTGCACATTATCTCGAAGATTGATTTCAAGAACCAATCAACACGAACACAAAATTATGTATTGAGTAAATACATTCCGGCTTCTTTCAACTAAAACACTAATATCACTAAAAATTTAACATAATTATATATTTTCCAAATACACACGCTTCATACGTCAACTTTGAAAACTTATAGCTGTGCGAATAGAAAGAGAAAAACGGGTCAAAAAATGTTTACAGTTGCAGTGTTGTATTATCCATCGAATAATGAAAAATTTCGGAGCAATTTAAAAATTGTTATTAATCCGAACCAAATCGGAAATTTCGTCCACTGTGCGATGTGAAGCGTAACAAACGTAATAATTATTCGTTTGATTCTTCGATCGATCGAAGTGGGGAGAACAACTGAACTTCGACAAGCTACCATATTAAAAGGAATGTGAAAAAGACTATAAACGAAAGGAGCGACGTGTTGTCGGGGATAAAATCCATAGCCAAGTCCTGCTAAACAATAACATATGAACGGGACGCAGTCAGCGTTAGTTGCTGATATACAAAACATACGATATATCACCAGTACAACTCGAAGAATAATTAGTTATATGTATAACAGCTAACCCACTTTCAAAGGTCTCAGCAATAGAGACTCAAGTTTGTCAAAACGGTGTGCTTATTCTTAAATTGTTTACGTAAAGAACATACTGTTTCCAAGTGAAGAGCGATCCCAGTTGTTTGTGCAATCGACCCCAACATACATTATTGCACCTGCATTGATTTTCTTTTACTACTGCACCTCATCTGTAATCATTCACCATATTTGGTATGCATACAACGAGTATGCCAGTTTGGGTAATGTTACGAACGGCAGTTATTCACGTAAAGAATACCTGCCTGCAAGAGCCTTGCTGTACTCAGGGTCACAGGTTAACATTATGAGGGAGGACTTGGCTGAAAAGCTACGGGTGTTAAGTCGCGGTTAAGCAATTACGATTATAATTTCGGCCTATGGAATGTATTTCAGCTAGTCATCCAAAACATAACTTAGACGCAAATGCCTCAAAAATTAAAGGCTGACATTTTATTGGATGCGGAAATGTTTTTTAATCTGTAGCTGTTGACCAAATTAATTAATTGTATAATTCCGCTCAACATTAAATTGGCGGATCTAGAATTCCAAAAACCTTAAAACGTTGATATTTTATTGGATGCTAAAACCAACGAATCAAAGCTACAGAAATCTCTATTAGGATAAACATTTTTGGAAGAATACAGCTGAAGTATTACCTGCAGGAACGTTTCAAGCTAGAACGCCCTTTAAATATGTTGTCATGATCTGGTGGCCAGTGTTACGCCAAGTGACATATTTTTTATGTTAAGACAAAATATGTTACAAATTATAAAAACATATTGTTATTACATTAAAATTTCATTATAACGGTTTATCTAATTAAAAATATTTGCCATAATTATACCATTAAATATACTTACCTTAATCCTGTACAAGGATTTAACGAAAATTCGAAAGATAAATATATTGTACTCCCCCCTTTTTTACATTACTTACATAATGAACAACCGGTTTAAGCCGTTAGGTTAATACTTATGCTGTCATTATCGAAAAAAAAATTAAAGATTCAATTGTATTACAAACAGAATAATGCAAACACATATTTGTATTTATCGGTTAACTTATTTTTCCAGACACACGTTCCATTGGAAGCGCAAGTCAATTAGCATCAAAGTCGTCACTGGTAATGATTATATCAGGAGAACAATTAGACACATTAAGAATTCCGGTAGGACCCTTTTATTGATGTTGTTGTTGTAACAATTATCTAATCCGCGCTTCGGAAGTAAGGTTCAGGTTGATTGTCGTCAAAGTTATTTAACGGTAAGCACAGGAAACGTGCTATTTCGACGTGGTCAGACCATAGGTGCAATGACACTTACCATGCGGGGACTCATTGTATGCTGGACATATATTTGGTATGTCGGGGATTGTGGATAAGTAGAAGTTTAACCTGCTACAATATCTAGAACAAAGTGGTTTGGTGGTTTGACTACAAGTTTGCTATTCACTGAGAGGGAATCAGGGAAGGTGTTAATGGCGGTCAGTGCATGTCTGAAATTTGTTTCGTTCGAAGTCTGGTCGGCGTACTGTTCGATCACGTCGAAGTCAAGGAACTTGATGTTCCTAGGAGACGATTCCGTTTCAAGCAGACGACTGCAGGGATGATTTCTAAGAAAACGTCCCACCAGAAACTGCTTTGAGGGGAGATCGTTGTGTTCCTTAACCGGAAGCATACAGACCTCGCTGTATAACACGTCTATAGCTTCTTCGTTTGCATTTCATTACATCCAGGCGACCATATCGGAGCGGCGTAGTTTATGACCGACCGGTCGATTACCTTGTATGTTGCCAACAACGTTTTTTTGTCTTTTCCCCATGAGCTGTCGGTAAGCGACTTGCGGATTTGGTTGCGGCTCTGCACTTTGGCATCATCTCAATCTTAGGATTGTTGACACCCGGAATTTTAATGGCATCGACTGCCATATTTAGATCCACTATATACTCCTTCGTCCAATTAGAGAATATGGTCGCTGTGGATTTTGTGGGGCAGAGTGTTAAGCTACTTGCTGAGAAGAAGCGCGAAAGGTCGGAGAAGTAGCCGTTTACTTTTGAACACATGCCATTGATTCCATTGCCCGACGTCAATATCACGCAATCATATGCGTACGAGGTGATGGAAATTGCCTTTGGTAGGGGGGACTTTCGAGATGTAGAAATTAAACAGTAACGGGGTGAAGACCCCATCGTGCGAAACCGCGGAACCCCCTATTTAATTCTTCGTAGTTTGGAGATTTGACCCCGAAACAGTACGGATGATTGCCGACCGCTCAGGTAGTTACCCTGGAGGGTGTTTGGATTGTTCTATTTCCTCATGTAGTGTGGGTTGGCTTGTGCCATATTTTTCGAATATCGAGCACATCACGCTTTTCTCACAATAATACAAATATTTTTCGGGTCAATATTTCTGTCAGTTTATATAAGGAATTATTTTTCACTTTTTTAGTTTGAAGTGGTTTAAAAGCGTGTTTTTAGTTTTTTATAACTATACTTATTTAAAATATCATTTACAAAGTTATTTATTTATATAACATACATAATCTTTATTACTATATTTACATTATTTTTACTTTTCGTTTTACATAATCAGTTTTGATTTAGCCGATTGTCCACTCAAAGAATTTACACAGCCAAGCTCACCCATATGCATCTCAGGAACACAGCTTTTGTTTTCTGTTATAAACCACCGTTTTTTATTCAATAAGAATAGCAACATCAATAATGGTAGATGGATAAGAGAAAAACGAAATAACATTCTCGAAGTATTACTATCCGATTTTTTATAAAATTTGTATGCTGAAAGTAAGTATATAATTAATTTTTAAGTAATATATATATGCACAAATACTGTGCATAGTTTATACTTAAAAGGTTAACATTATTTAATTAGGAATTGATATAAGTGTCTGAAATATTGTTTACTAAGATGATTTGATTGGATGTCGGATATCAGAAAAACTGATAGAGAAGGTTCTCCAGATATATGCACTGTTTAAGCGTAAAATTTATTGTAAAAAGAAATTACGTAATTAAAATTGTTGATATAATGAACTTTATATTCGAATAATCTATAAGTCAGCGGCACCTATATATACATATATATTCTTAAACTATCAGACTATTCAAAATTGTCCCCCTTATTTCTTTTTATTTATTTTATGAAAAGTTTTCATTTAAATATTAATATAATTGTACTTTAATTATAAGTTACTTTATACATAAAAATACATTAGTCTAGAATCTAGATTTTACATAAAATGTAATTAACTTACCCAAATAGCAAAAGTAAGCGTTTAAAGGAAATGATTCCAAAGCAAACCAATATGATGTCAAATTTAAAACGGGCGCATATGCAGATAACAATGCAATTAATGCAGTATACCTCAAAGCTGTTTTTCGACATAACGCGGGATTAGTCACGGACATCATTCGATACCCAGCACGCGAATAATCAGGTCGGAGATTCCATGACAATGCATTGAAGTGAGGAAATTGCCAAGCAAAGAGTACTCCTGCTAGTACAAATGCTGATACATCAAGGTTTCCAGTACAACCAGACCATCCCATCAGCGGAGGAATAGCACCCACAATCGATCCGATCCATGTATTTAAAATACTTATTCTTTTTAAAGGCGTGTAGACAGATGTATATAAAAACAAGTTCGAAGCCCCTAAAGCAGCCGTTAACCCATTCACTCCAAAATAAAGCAAACTCAACCCCGCCGTTGCTGATATAATCGCAAATTTAACTGAATGCAGAGGTGTTAACTGTCCAGTGACCAAAACGCGATTTTTAGTTCTATTCATTTGTGAATCAAATGGTACTTCGTGATATTGGTTTATTGCATTAGCGGCAGCAGAAACTAAACACGTACCCACAGTGCATGATAGAAAAGTGCAGAACTCAAAAGGAGCCGGGGCCATTGCATATCCGCTCATCGCAGTTATTACCACAAGAGCTAAAGTATTATTTGAAATGTTTATTACCGCAGTTGTTATTAAATATACATATGTATACTTACACGTCAAACGAAATTTCGACAATTTTTTTAAATAGCTCGCCATGTGTTTTAACTCTGTATTTGGACTGGGGTGCCATAAATTACCTTTAGTATCATTTCCAATCACATTTTGTGTCAAATCTTTAGTGACATCCTTACATTTTTGGTCAAGGGATGATACTGTTGTAACAGGTGCCTCTACCACGTTTAGACATTTTCTCTCAGCATTAATACGATTCGATATATGACAAATAGGGAAATACCTAGTGACCTTAATGACGGGTTAGTTTAATTGTTTATTTCATAAATACATATCATACTTTCAAAGTTTTTATATAACACCTCGGATAGGTTCTCCAAAGAAGAAACATATTTAAGTTTAAGTACCTTTATAATATCATTTCAAATATTTTCGTTTAATAACACATCTTCATTGTATAAATCTACAATACTTATACTTACACAACGCCATTGTATAAAACGACAAGTAACCAATCCTAAGATATTCACTAATCCACACACACATATGTCCCACTTGGTACGGGTTGCCTTGAAAATTCTACTCCTAAAATCACACCTGGTACAGGTTGCCTACTTATATTCTATTACTAAAGTCACATTGGTACGGGTTGCCAACCGTTATTCTGCTACTAAAACGTTCAAATGCCACAAATCTGCTATAGTGTGTTGCCGTGTTATGTTTTAAAATGTATAACTTTAAGAATGTTTATATTACATATTCAAATATTTTTCGGTTGTTTTAATTTTTAAAGATTAAGTTTGGGAAAGCTTTAGTTTAGCATCCCACGATTTCAGAAAATGTAAAATGAAATTTGTGAAATTTTCAACTTAAAATGCAAATATCTCGAAAACTATAAGTTTCCGGCGGCAATAATTATATATATTCGTGATCTGGATAATCTCCTCTATCCAACCATACCCCTCTTAACCCTAAAATCGTGGGATGCTAAACTAAAGCCCAACCTTAAGTTTACATAGTATTATTTAAATTATTATTTATTGTATTGAAATATTATTGAAAGTTTCAATTTTATCAAATATATTACTATGTAACGGTGATTTATTACTTAGTACAAAACATTGTTTTGATTATTGTTATTCTTCCTGAATTGTACCTCATTTTTTATATATTTTCGTTTTTGTTCAAATCAAGTTGAATATTTCATTTTATATTGTTAATGCTAAATTGTCAATGTAATTAATTTTCATGAACCTGATTCATATACCTGATTTTATGTATATATCTTTTCGAGTTATAATTGTTATGAAAACTAGATTGTTTAAAAACTGTATATATTATATGGGTAAATATAGGCCTCCTGGGGAACCGAACACCTCAGAGGTGGTGAGGAAAAGCAATAAATATACAATACTTTTTCGTTTCGAAAATATTCTTTAAAGTTTTCATTAATATTCTCCATTATAATAACATATTCGCAAACAAGTTGTTAAACTGCAATACATTGCTTTTATTTACATCTCTGTGTCAAAAAAATGCAGATTTGATCAGGTGATCACAGCTGTTTCACACACATAGGAAAACAGTGAATCTTTGGTTCCTTGTAGGCTTATAAAATGAAAAACGCACATCTTGATGTAATAAATCCGTGATAGAGATCAGGGTACCCTCTAATGAATAATGCTCTTACGAAGCAATAGATGTTGTCCGAATAACTTTGTTGCTATTTATAATAGCAATGAAGGATAAAGATTGCAGCTTGCAAACATAGTGTAACGGATTTCTCTTCACTGTTGAGTTCGATCACTGGATTGTTATATTAAAGTCCCAAATTAATGCTATACACTTTTATTTATTTCCAATTCCACCAACTTAACACTTATTGCTCGCTATTCGCACTTACAACTTATTGTTTATAGCTTCATTGCTCTTTACACGGCAACACTCTAATTAGAACCATAGATAAAATGAGCCAAAACTCCTCTCTTTGCCTTCTGAGAGAGCTCATGAACTTTCAGTGCTGCCAAGAAAAACCACGAGTTTATGAGCTACTGAACAGATGACAAGCAAAACAATGAACTACAACTAAGAATGCTGCAAAAATAAATTGCGAAATCAGTGGGTAATTTGTGAGATCAGATTCATTGTTGACTTTTACGTATATTTGTAATCTTTATTTAAAGAGATTTCAAATAGTTTTGTTTTTAGGAAAGAGCGGTATTTTGTTACAGAGTATTGTTTTGCTTAGCTGTACCAATTGCCAACGTATATACTTATTTTGGTTAGAATTCCCAGCAAATGTTATGTAAACTTTGACTTCCGAATAAATAATCAAAAGCTATTTGTTTATTAAGTATATAAAAAAGAAATAAGGATCATGTTTAGGTTATTTAAAACTTATGTGTTTTGATATATTAAAATATTTTGGTAAATTTAGTTTTAAACGTTAGTTTTGAAATTCTTTTGTGATTAAAATATACATGTACTTATATTTAGAAGACATATAGATATCTGGCTTGTTAAACTAATTTTATTTATGAATATTTTTCTGTAAAATGGAAACCGAAAAATACCCAAGATATACATTTAAAAATCTCAAAACTTATTTCTTTCCTTAATGGCACCACTGTCAAATGTTATAAAGAATGTGGACTTTGACAGCGCCCTCTCAAATCAAAGAGTTTACCATCATTTTATCCATGATTAGAACTGTCTCTGCTGCATACTCCGGAGCCCTTATATAGTAAATCTTTAACAAAGCATTGCTTCTAGAACATTCTGGCAACTACGAATTCGCTTACTAGTTGCTTTTGGCAATTTATCGTCGATTCTGATGTGTTCTGGTATTCGTGTTGGCCCCAGTAGTATTAATTTTCAATTGAAAATTATAAAAAAGCATTTACTAATTGTGAGTTAATACATTTTTTCACGTTTTAAAAAATGAAAGTTCAAAAATCAATTGTTTTAATATATTACAAAATAACAAAAAAGGGTTTAAATAGTTGCTGCATATGTTTAACGGATATACGTATAATAATGTTTAATCTTGATAAATGTTGGGTATTTTAATTTACATTCCCAAAAATTATTATTTTGTCCGATCTGGCTACAATGGAAAATGTTATAAAAAACGCTAATTTTGAGGCGCTCTCACACTGGAAGGAGTTGGACATCCAAATTTCCCTGGCTTCTACCATCCGCTTCAACAGACCTTACGGTTAGATAGTCCCAAAAATTGGTTTGAGATTGATAGAAATGTGTTAGCTGAGAGTCAGAGAGCCATCTCTTGTAACACAGGGTTTCCAATCTCGATATTTTGTAGTAATTAAAAAATGAACTTGAATATATTTGAAATATTCTTAAAATAACTCAAAAGCATAGTCGAATACATTTATTTATAAATAGGTAAACTATTTTTAATAGTTGGATTTTAGTTTTGAGCATTAACATTATGAAAAATTGTAACTAACAACTAAATGTGTGAAAAATCGTGTATACAAATTGAACAATATCAATATTGGTGAAATGAAACCAAAAGAGAACAACTGATTTCTGCGTTGCAACTACGGGCATAACTTTTGACAAATTTGGTTTGATACGAGCGGTAAGTACGGAAGGGAGGAATGTCGGTGACTGTTTGTGCTATAAGTCTGATCGTCCCGAATAGACATATTTGTGGTAGCAAACACAAAGCTTTTATGTCTCCCATCTCGTATTCTAAGGTAGTGTTAATTTCCGTAGCCGTCCTTTTCTTCTTTAAGTTAATTCCATCCGTTTTTCGGATACCCAGTTTCTGATATATCCCTTGACTTAATTCTTGATCAGAATGTAACTCCATTGAAACACTAAATCTCGTTACCCACTTTTTGATGAATGCATTCGCCACTGGTTCAACCTCTTGATTAGGAATTGTGTATCATTTTGGCCATTCGTTGAAATGGTCCTTTACTACTAAAACATTACTATTTTTTAAAATATTGGTGTGAAATGGACCATCTTCATCCACGCCTATTTGTTCAACTAGCGCACCCGAATTGTACTGCTTCAGCTGACCATGACTCCTAGACCTTGATCCTTTAGCTACAATGCACTCAGCATATTTCGTTATCCCATCAATAACTGATTGACAACAACCAGTCCAATAAAACCTTTGCTTCAATTTCTCCAAGGTGATTCTCAAGTGCCCTTCTCTTGTACCTTTGTACTGCACGTTAAGAACTTCAAGAATTCTAACCTTTTAAACAACCATAAGTACTCGGGAGTACTCCCCTTTTCGCTTTTCCATAGTCTATGCAAGCAGCTACACACCAACTTTAAACTGCTCCGCTCTGCCCAATATGCTTTTGCGACTGGCCTTCTGTAGTTACTTCTCCACTCATACATTTGTGATTCTGGATATTCTTGCAAAGAATCATCAGTTTTGGTTTTAATTTTGTACTGTTCTTCCATCTGTCAGGTTACCTGTGCTGGTATACACACTTCCTGCTGTTCCAACTGTGAGAACACTTGTGCTATGGAATTAGAAATAAAGCTAAGTGTAAGCTATTAAATTGGTACTTTTTTTTAACAATCCAGGGACCGAACTCAAAAGTCAGTTGTTGGTAGACCATGTATCGAGAAATCCATTACAACACTTTTTAAGCGATACGTTTTTCGTATTAGCAAAAAAAATCAGCATTTTCTTTGAAAGCGAAATTATAATATAAGTATTCTTTCGGTATAAAAGCAGTGAAAGTAGATGATAGAGAAGGTTCAATTGCAGACCAATTTGCGAATTGACAAACGCTAACAAAACACGATGGACGGATTTCACCACAGCCACCAACAAAAGCAAAAATCGTCCCATATAGCGCAAGTCAATATGGCAGCCAAATAGCCGAATCCCAAAATAATAGTAAATCACACAAAAACAACATTTTCATTAATAAAGTGTTAACACCGAAGTGCTAACACCGATGTGAAATAGTAACCAGCCCCTTAGGGCCTTCGTCAGCAAGAGTTCACTGAGCGCAGAACTAGTAGACCGCGTTGCTCCGGGCGAGCGCCGGTTCGTCCGTGTATTCCAGAACTGGTAAAGCGAAGGCAGGCCTATAGGAACTGTGATTGGGAAACCGTCCCCGAGGGTACACCTGTTTCTGCCTATTTTAGCCCGTCCACCTGTATACCGATCGTTTCGGAAAACATTGATATCGAATTATCTCCCTGTGGAGCAGCTGATAAATGTCGTAGATAGAACTGCAAGTTAAAGAGACTTCATGTCTGGCCAGATCGCGTTTTAAAATGCCTTCTACAGATAGACCCGCGCGCATAATCGTTAACATCAACGCTACAAGAAAACACGCTTACAGTTAAGAAATGAGTAGAGTATTGCTTAACTCAATTTCGAAGCTCCACGCATGCACACAAGTGGATCATATTAGGCAAATGGAGTCAAACCGAAGCGTGCCGAGCCAGCAAACTGTTGCTGAAGTAACATCTAAAATACCACGCGATACCAACAAACCGAGTAAAAGGACGCCACCAAAAAGGACCATAACGAAATGTTGATGACGAAAGCGGTGGAGAAAAAAGTAATAGTAATGGTGTAAGGCAAAAGCCTCTCTCGAGTAAAGAAGACAACCAAAGGAGAGATATTGATGGAACTGAAGAAAGCACAAACAGGAAGCAGTGAAGGTTGCAAGGAGGACTTATGAAAACTATTGGGCAAAATCTACTACGAAAAAG